AACTGCATTTATAGCGGCATATGAACAAAATAATCTATTACCAAAATATTATATAATATTTGTGATACTCGTATATAAAAACAGAAGCAGCTAAAACGTAACAGTATAGTACTGTCATGTCCACCCAACCTAAAATATCGACCAGTACAAAAATGTCCAAACGGGTTTTTAATATTTCAAACGGCGCAATTCGGCCACAGCAATCGATACTAACTAGCCACTGTCATGTACTGGCCACTGGCAATGCAGCCTTGCATTGTGTGTTAAAAGCTATGTTTTTTAACGTTTTATTGTATGCAAAAATGCGGTTGGGCCGAATATGAAAATAGTTTTTGGGACGAAAATAGATGATATTTGCACCGCAAAAGATTATTTGTTATGAGATTAATACTAATGTAATTTTAGGTATTCCAAATCGTGAACTCAGTGCTCAATATGTCAATACATATACATATTAGTTATATATCGACAGAACAAAGAGAAATTGTCAAAATTCTTTTAGATTCTTTTTGTTGGCGACCTGCCGCTGAACTCTTTTGATATTTTTATTATTTTTAAATGTATATTCTCTTATTGTCCTTTTGATAGTTTCGCAACGGCACATTCATATATTGTATTATTATAAACTACGTGTTTTCATCATTTAGACACCCATACAGTCCACCGATCCATTACACTTTTATTTTAAAAAATAACGTAACGTCGAAATATATTAACATTTGCCGAGATAGAAAGTTGAAAATTAATACTTGGGTAAGTATATATTAAAACAATTTTCAACTTTCTATCTCGATAATTATATGAGTTATAAATTTTTGAAACTCTTTTTTGGTTCTGTTGTAAAGTTGGTTTGTTCAAGTTACGATAATTCCGCTTTCTTCCGTCTTGTGTTATGTTATGATAAGTGATAATTACATTTTTTTAAATATATACTCGATATACATAGAAAACAACCAGACCGATACAATCATACTCATTAATACAAAAGTTTGTACCATACATGGATTCGAAACTAAAGCCGTCAATATATACCTGACATACCTTTTTCTAAATAGTTAAATTTAGTACCTACTTATATTTTCATCCAAGTTAAAAAACAGAAGACATGTTGAATCTGTTATTGTTCCGCTAGTTTTATTACAACAACAATCCAGTGTGAAGGTGGCCACCGTTTCTTTCGAATTCAACAGTAAGTGAAACCACTGGGACCAGCTAGTTGTAAGTAGTAATTTTGTTCGAGTCGCCAACTTCAGTACCATGCACAAATTAAAATCGTTATTATAGTAATTTTATTTATCACATATAAGGTGTAAATTGCAACCGATTTCGTGTAGTCAACCGGTATTTAATGAATTGAATTATATCGAGTATTGATATAATGTATGTATACATTTAATTCTCTCACTTTCAAAAATGGAATCGCTTTTAATTTAAAAAAATACAAAACCGATATAAATTTTTAAAAAGTTTTGCCTATTTCAGCTACCAGCAACCTGTTTTATAAGATAAATCAGTGAAATCGCAGGATAAGGGCATGCAATCTTAAACCTATGGATTGGCAACGTGTAACAGGTATCACGGTCGTCACATTATAAAGTGATGTTCATGTACTATATAGTTTTATAAGATACCGTAATCCATTCAATTTAATATCTACATAAAAAAACTCTCATGACACGATTACAAAGTGCCTGATATTAATCTTAGAAATTTGTAAGTCTTTGGTAAACATCTCATTCTATGATTGTGGCAAAAGATACAAACATTTGTTTCTACTTATTGCTGCACATTACTGGGTAGATAATACAATCTCAATTGAGACAGTCCTGATTTTAAAAAGTCAATTAAATAAAAATATGATTTTTTCTTGAGACGTATGCCATCGTACAATTAAGAAAAAAGATAAAATTTTGAATGTAGAGAACAATGAAGGGTAAATGTACCTAATCTGAAAAATCAACAAGCCAAAGTGGCAATTGGCTGACCTTGTAGCTCGTAGAACCGTCACATAGTAGGCAACCATACTGGATGGACCGACGATCTAAAATATAATAACAACAATAAATAAAGCATCCGTGCGACACCATTTATTCATTTTATTTTATTAATAAATTACTAGGTGAATTCAAAAATATTCACGAAGCATGATATTTCAGATGGATAGAAGGATGCTCTGTTCTTTTCTACCTTCATTCTATTCTTCCAGTAATCTTTACGTGAACAATCAGTTTTCGCATGGTTACAAGTTTACAATTATTTCATTTACTAGCTGGTCTAGGCAACTTCGTCTAGGTCAAACCTTTCCCCCTTTTCCCCGTTTTGCACTATTTTTCATTGCAGCTCTGCTCGTATTGGTCGTAACGTGATGTTATATATCCTCGATAAACTGGCTATCCTACACTAAATGAATTTTCAAAATCGGAGCAATAGTGCCGGATATTAGATCAATCATTCAAACTGACTAACTTTACCTCTTTTTAATATGTTAAGGTATAAGGGATATTTGAGGTACTAAGGGAAAAGTAAACCCCATTGATTGCAAACAGAATAATCAAAATTCAGTGAAACTCATATCGTCTAATATGTATGTATCTCAGTCGGCTGTAGGGTGCAATTAGGCGTTGAAATTATTGAATAAGAGCTATGATATTTACGATCTCTGGAATGGCAACGCAATATTGCAATATTGGTATTGTGCATATAATGTATCTATATACACGGTTACCGTTTACCATCAGGTGGGCCGCCAACTTGTTTAATATATAAAAAATATAATACAATTGTTGTATTAACAACTTCCTTCTATTTTGAAGTTGGTTCAAAATTCACAAATAACTGATTAATTTACGACCATATTTGCCTTATTCGTCAGCCGAATTTGTATTTTTTTGTGGTTTTCGGCTATTATCTAAATGTTTGGGACTCTTTTCCTTAAAGTGCGGTATAGTTATTGAACAAAGAATGGATATTTAAATTTAATAATATTAGGACCGTTTTAAATGTTACATATAGGTATATTTATTCTGAGTAGATCATTCACCATCATCATCATTTCAGCCTATTTTGCTAATATTGATCCAAGTAACGTGTTTTTTCGGGACGGAATTTTCATCCAAGGAAATCGAATTTTATGCTGATTTCACGATTATGTTTTTAACCTATATTTGATGGTAGGTATATTCTTTTCACTCTATTCTTACACACAAATTTTGGTATGGATTAAGATAAATAATAAATCTCCAAAGATCTATACATTCTCACAAACTTTCGAAACCTTTCATCCTAACAGTATTTCGTATGGGTACCATTTATGGGATATTATTTATTCGTTGTCTCATGAGTGTTGTACTCATGGTTCCTACTCACTAAGGGTCTTCTTAGTACTGTCCCGCTTTATGTAGAGTTGGTTTCTACCACTAAGGATGATATAGTACTTTTCTACGTCTGACAGTATTTATATATCTACTCTCGGATAGAATTTGATCATGTAGCTTCACGTAAGGTAAGGCACCACAATATCTTGCCAAGTATCATCCAAATCGGTTTAATAGTTTGTGAATATGATTAAATTATCATAATTATTGCGTCATGTGAAGAGAATATCAATTTGTTGAAGAGTCCAGAGTCAAGTGTTTATTTAGCACCTCGCGGTTTAGCACACCGGGTTAATTCCGATGGTTGCGGGTTTGATTCCTTGCGCGGTACACATATTTCGTTAATATGATTGTTTGCATTAATCTGGGTGTCTTCTGAATGTATTATGTATGTATGTATAAAAGGTAAGTATATCTATGTCAGTTTCTAGAATCCATAACACTAGCAGAGCTAGAGCAAATGCCGCTACGTGAATTATCCAGGGTTATTATTATTATTATTTAAGTAAATACTTAGACCAATGATAGAAATTTATCAGTGGTCTAGTACCATAACACAAGCTTTGCCTAACTTAGAACTAGATGACACTGTATATACCTATTGTCCAGGGATATTGTTATAATTAAATAACTTCATTTCAACCGATTGCTAAAAGATATTCGTAATTTCTTCTTAATAAGTTCTTAATTTCTCTGACTTTGTACAAAGTTTTCTGCGTGGGTATGTACCTCTGTATGACCTGTTTCAGCTGTCAAGCGGCTTGCTTTGTAAGATGTGTTTGGGTTGAAGGACAATTTATATGCCAGTCCAATTACAAGATATGAAGACATGACATCTTAGGTCTCTAGAAAGGAAGTGCATGAATACTACCACAGATATCATACCATGACATGATCCTTTGTGCTGTACATATATATATATAGGTGACGGTCACCACTAATCATCAGGTGGCATCGGTATTTTATATGTAGGTATGTTGTGTACAGTATAATTATATTATAATAAATTAATAGAAAAGAATTATCGCTAAAATTAGAAAATGTTTAACATAAGTGTCTAAATACATTGATAGTAAATATATAGATAAGAAAATGTGAATTAAAAAGTTGTAACAAGATAAATTTCCAAACAAAATGTCGAACATTTAATAAAGTTATTTTAATTTAAATATAAAGATTGTTTAGAACAAAATATATTATCAATTAATTATCGATGGACAAAACAAACCTAGATGAACTAGGTACGTACTACATAGATACAGCTAGTGATAGCCCGAAGGCCAATGGTCTCGGCCCAAGGGAAAACGACGCAAAACCGCTCATGTGAGTTTTAAGATACAAAAATACCCTAGCAAGTTCGTCAACCCAAAAAACTCGACAATCAAACAAACGTCAGTACGAAAACGACTAGACACTCCCGACAATAAGGACGAATCTCCTGTGAACGAACTCACCCTATCTAGCGAAGTTAGCGATCGACACATAAGTGAATTTGCAATTCCAACGCAGCAATGCACTCGACCAGCGGCTGACTTCGCTTCACTCAATCAAGTTCATAGATTAAGATTGGCATTTCGTAGACTGACTGTACATAATTATTATGACTTTACAATAAATTAAACTTACCCAAGAATGTCGCAGTATCTGTCCATAAGCATTCAGTTCTTCATGTACGTGTTCTTTGACAAGAAAAAAATAGTTCACGATCACCTTAGAATAACCTAGTCTCTAACTTTGCACTTTATCATCACATTAGTTTGTACAGAGAAGGCACTATGTCTACATCACAAAATTGAGCAAAGTGAAAATTAAAAAAATAGTTTTCACTTTATGAGGTCATCGAACGCAGCGCGACTATTCCATCGCATTCGAAAATGGAACGTTTCGAACACATCCCCGTGAAGTCCGAAATGAGAATTCGGAGGCTGTCGTTTCCTTTGCGGTGTCCATTCGGCGGGATTTCGTTTATTTCCGCGTGTAAACACGAAGCGCGTGCGGTCACAGCTCGCGCGCAACTGAAGATTGTCGTAGGTTAAGTTTGGAAAAAAACACCGCTAGCTCAATTTTCCACTACGGACCCGCACAGTTTTACCGCACCAAAAACACGCCAAGCACTCGGGCATTGCCACTTATTAACGTAAGGTAAAAGTTTCTGTCACTAATAAAATAGTTTACTCATATCGCCACTTTTGTTTTGACAACACCATGTGTAACAACCGCGGGAATATAGGACACAGCGTAGATGGCGCCACCCTCTCTAAAAAAAGTACGGATCCGGGATCGCACACAAAAATAACACCGCTAACCAAACAAACTTGCAACGCGCGTAAACACAACGAATTTACTGAATGCCACTTTTCATTAAATTATTTCGCTATGCACCGGCCGACGTCACCGAAATAGCAGACGCGGGGCGGCATAGTCGTCTCTCTCTCGCACGCTGATGTAGTTAGCTTTTCTTACTTATCTAAATTGGAACATTCGGAATTTGAATTTGAACTGTCATGTTTTCTATTTTGATTAGCTTTGGTTTTTAGGTTAGTTTTAGTTGACGCGCGGTGCATAGATCGTGCATACGTGCACGGAACTGCAGTTGCACTGAGGCTAGATGACATTCACAGAGGCTTAAACTCAAGTTCAGACGGATACGGCGTCAATAAACTGGCCGACGTAGTTCGTAACGTGCCGCGATGTAATTTTATATCAGTCACTCATTACAAATAAGTCATCTTTGAGATTAACTATCTACTTACATGCATACTATATGTAGGTACCTATCTGTCTACGATACGTTTTAAGGTGTAATAATCTGGTGGGTAAATACCTACATTTCAATAACTAATCACATTTTTATATGAATTATACAAAAAGATCAAGGAAACAACACAATTAATTGATTATTGTTAATAGCTCTATTTAACTATTTCTGAAGCATCAAACAAAACAAGTACGAGTTAATGACGTTGATTTTATTTAACCTTGTCAATGTTGACATTTGTATGAAAATCATTAATTCAAATTATTAAAATATTGGTTATAATTTAGAAACTGTGTCTGCAACCTTTCCTTCACATTTATGACTCTGTATTGCTCATATAGTTTTTTTTAAATGAACTTAAGTCAGTCAGCACAGCGTAATGAATTCACAAGGAATGGTTACCCTCTGGTCTTTTATGTCTAAGTCCACCTGATATGATATTGTACCAATGAGACCAGAGACCGATGAGATCTATTAACAATCTTCTTCCACCTTGTAACTATTGAATGAATTATTGCAAGTAAAACTATTACTTTCGTATTTCTAACAGTACTTTTAGGGGGGAAATAATAGTAGGTAATGGGAAATAGTGATGATACTATTCAGGAGGACTAAGATTCACTTTGTCACACCTTCAGCCGAAACACATTTTAAAAAGCAAGCTGTTTAGCGGCTGAAATAGGCGGAACTTACGCAGACGACTTTTTACAAAGTCCACCTCGGTCATAGATGATGTCACTTGAGTCAATTGTTTTAATATTGGTTACCTCAATTTTATAAAATCTGTCCCAAAGCAACGCGTAGCCAAAACAGCTAGTCATTAAATTAAAATATAGGCATATAAAATATTTTCTAAAATGTGTAAAACTCGCATATTGTATAGATACTTAGATACGAAATTAGCAATATTATCAAGCAAACCACAAAATGAGTTCCATTTATATGTTTAAAATTACTGATTATTATTTATTTACTGGATTTCAGATGTAAACTATAAATGTTGAATTATAAATTTTGTTTATATATATTATACAAAAAAAACAAAAGCTTATTTATATTTTACAAGGAAGTCATTTTTATGACTTGTATATATTTTACTAGGATTTACGAATTTAAAAAAAGGCAGCATTATTAATTTTCAATTTAAAGTAAAAATTGCCACATTATTACACAATATTTCAAAACATAAATAAAATCTCTATAGGTATTTAAATTTTTACTCAACTGCAAAGAAAGGAGATTCCACAAAGACAAGACAAATATAAACTTTATCCATTTCATTCTAAAAATAATGATATGATACATTACTACGAAAAAACTATTGCGAAGATATTGTGTATTATAATATGTATATACAAACACAAAAATATAATTGGGATATTATAAGTAAAATTTACATTTTACGATTGGAAAAGAATAGATAGTTATAGAATTCACTTTTGTTTCTTCAAAAATAATATATCTACTATTTATATAATACATATCTATCAATGTGTTTAATCTACTTTATCGAATTTAATTAATAAACAAATAAGTAGTAATATTGAATAATACCATTACAATTTTATTCACATTCCATCAGGTATTGTAATTTGTAAAAACAAAATCATTCATAATATTCAAATTCTATTCACATGAACAATTCAAAGGGATAAATTCAATTTTTCAAAAAGGAATATCGAATACGCTCGTTTAAATTCAGCGAAAGTGATCTTTCGGCGTGTTTATTTTTTTTTATACAACTCCTGTCGGATGCATTGCACATTCAGCCTCGGGCTGGTGCATATTGTGTCATTGACCCCAGTATTCGGGCGTCGACGTCCATTATGTTGAGAAAGGTCAGGTTTATGTATGTGCGAGTTTTGCATGTGTGTGTAAGCTTTTACTTTCGTTATGACTGTACTTCGTGAAATCTGAACTCTGTGCACCAAATAAAAGTAAGTATATGTACCTATGTTTTGAGTGTGTTTGTATGTGGTTTGTGAGTTCCTCTGTACAACATTAAACTAGGGACCCATTATTTTAACCGACGTCAAAAAGAAGGCTTTACTCAAGTGAATAATATTTTGTGTGTTTGTACTAATTTGGCACTTTCTTTCAACGCGATTACTATTATGGGTAATTTATTTTAGTTGCCTATAAAAATATTTTCTTTCACTGTGATCATTTTTAGAAAGATTTATGACTGGCGACCCGTGGCAAACGTGTTATATATATATCAATATATATCTATACGAAACTGAAGGAATGGCAATTAATGAATTAATTATTATTTTTTACTTATCTATTAGTGATAGTGAATCGTGCACACAATGATATTAGCGCTTACATCGAGAAAGACTATAAGGAACGGCAATGTTTATTTAAGACTATAAGGATTGCCGTCTTCAGTGCCGTGATCACACAGACAATATCATTGTATTAGTTTTTAAATATTATATTATATGTATGTTAGTCTATAAGGTATATATATGGGCCTAGTTGCCTGAAATAAATGAATAAATAAATAAATAAATGTAAAATCTTACAAAAACGGGGTAAATATAATACAGACTCAGTTAAGCGAGTTATCTAGTATAAAATAATGTTGTTATATCTAAACTCTATTTTTGTGGTCGGATAATAAACGAATAACCAAACGAAAATCCTTTAAGCTGTACACGATATATAAACTTAAATAAAATGCAACGCAACACGGCATGCGATAAAAATGCTATCCAGCGCCCGCACTCATGCAGTTTTTTTTTCGGTTACAACTGGTTTCATCCTGTTACCATTGAAATAACGGTACATGGTAAATATTGCAGACGGCATACAATTTTAATTTATTTTTATAGTTCAAACTATTTCACTTATCGTTATTCCACAATATGGGAATATAAATATTATTTCTGTTGCACATTTTAAGGAATTCTTGGCGAAATATCAATAGTATCTTAAATTTCGTCATGTCAGTTTATCTACCTGTTTGTCTGTGTGCCCTATGTACGAGTAAATTGCAGATTACCTAATCCCTTTTTTGTATGATATTTATATAAGAATAACTCAAAGCTACCGCTCACGAAATAATAATATGTATGTGGGATCACACGAAAAAAACTACCTTTTAAGTAAGAAAATTATTCTTCTATAAATTGCAACTCTCAAATTCTTAACACAAAATCTCAGAAGTGTAGATTTTCATGTGTTTCAAATGAGTTTTATCAGCAACAACTTTTTACATAATTAAGCATGTTTACACTCGTATAAAGTTTGTTTCAATCAAGTGTTTTTATTCCCACACTCATATCTAAACTTAGCTCAGCCATGATCATAGCTGTTTATACCTTAGCTGTTATTATAAACGAATTAAAAAAACACATTTGACCGATAACATATCTATCGTCGGCATACAACACATAAAACTCTATTATTGTAAGACTGATATGAAACTTCCAAATTATAAATACGGTATTCATCCGAATTTCACTGATAAGCCGTTATCATATCACTGACCAGTAATTCGGAGTCAGTTGACAAAGGTCATGGTATCGTATTGTCTAGCTTGTACATACCTGTTGTAAATATATTCGTCTCTTTCTATAGAACAATGTACATTGTATTTGCACAAATGGGGATCATGTCTCGTGAATTGAGATAATTCATGTGGCCGTTGCCCGAAATTGATACAATTATTTGGTTAGGATGACTAACTAAATTTGATGATTCTCGCCGCACTGTTGTAATCGACTATTCATACTCCATATAAATGAGGTTTAGGATTCGGTGCTTGGTAATGGATGATGATATGTACCTAATGTCGTTCCCGCTTATTGTGTTAACGGTATACGCTAGCGGGGCATCAGTGAATGATGATGAGCATGAAGTCACTACCTAATGTCAGTTAGCACAACGCGATGATTTCACCAGGAATTAACATAGATAGGTATATAAAATAAAGTTATGATTACTCGTTGATGATGAACGTCGGCTCATTGATCCATTTTAAGTATGTTAAAGATTCTTAATTTAGATAGATATTGGTTTATTAAGAAAAACAAAGCTTTCTTCGTAAAAAAGCAGGTACAGTACAGTTTACATAAGTAACATCTTGAACAACAGAGGGATTTCTTTACAATTAGCATGCTTACATTATTTTTGTATATTTAGAATAAGATATTAAATGTACAATGGAATTAAAATAATCTAACCCGAAGTAAAACAATAAAGGAAAAACAACTTAAAATTTGTTACTACTCGATACCCTTTGAATAGACTATTTGAGAGTTTGACAAACTAATAAATTGGTTGCAAGGTACACATGTTTTATACATTGTATATATGTTTTATCCTTCTTTAACAAACTAACAATAGATAAAAAGTTGGACGGCAAAGTGGATGAATAAAAAAACTTTGTTTCATGTTCATACTGCAAATATTTAAACATCGTGGAAGACCATTCCTATTCATCCCATCAGGTAATCGACTCCGTGTACTGTAATAGAATAGAATAAAATACGAAATTGTTTATTCAAATAAACCTAAATTTATGCACGTTTAAATAGTAGTTATTTTTTATCTGCCGCTTATTCGGAAAGCTATCTTATCACAAGAAGAATGACTACGAAACTACTGTTGTGTTGCTCTTTTAAACTAGTAATAATACTCTCTAAATAATACTGAGATTAAGTACTGAATCGATTTTAAAAAAGCACAGTAATTTATCTTTCTGGTTCAGATTCTATCCGACAAAACTGCGACAACTAATACTTATGTCTAAATGACAATTTGTCTGTTTGATACTTGTCACATTTAATAAACTCTTATAACGT